AAAGAAAAAAGTTCTCCCCAATGCGTTTTTAGGAAGTGGCATGGAAGTCCACCCATGGAAGCCCAGAAGAAGGGAGAGTGGATGTTCCCTCCCCACAACCAGTCCCATAGCTAGTGAGGATCAAACGGAAACCTGACACTTCTGAGTCTAGTGCGGGTGCTTGCAAGTTCTGAGTTCTGGGGTCCTTTGGCTGTTTAAATAGCTTGAGAATCAACCATAAAGGTGAAGATTGGCAGTGGGATTTGCAGTCAGAGAACTTGTTTCCCTCATTGCTACCCTGTGATTTTGGACACATTTGATCTGTTTCAGCTTCCGTTTACTCACCTGTAAGATGGGGGTGATGAATGCCTTGCAGATTTGCTGGAATTAAATGAAAAGCATCAAAATCTGGCTCATAATAGCACTCAAAGATTATTTATATGCCATTGTAGGAAGGAGGTTCTCAGGGCATATGTTGGGATCCCTGGAAAAGAAGTAAAACAATTCTGGAGGATGCATTAATTCTTCCAGGTAATTGTACAGAAATGTCATTTTTGGTGGCCAAAGTTAATGCAGCTTCCCAAAGCACCGATTTCTTCTTTGGGAAGCAGTGTCTCCATCTTGGGTTCTGACTTAAATAAACTGTCTCTTTCACCAGTAACTTGGATGTGGAGCTTGAGGATCCACCACCCAGTGTGATGTGACATTTTGCTTCTTGTCATCCTGGTGTTTCTTGGAAGCATCGCTCACAGCACGGGTGTTCCTGTATTCACCACTAGAAACAGCCAGGGTTGGGGTTTTTGAAAAAAAGAAGAAATGCTTGCTTTCCTTTATTCACTTCAGAGGCAGCCTGCTGAATAGAGTTAATAATCTCAGTGTTTTCCTTCAGGCTATGATGATGAAGTCTGCCAATGGTAGGCTTCAATTTATTAATGAACTGTGGTCAGTTTGGTACTGAGACCTCAGACATAGAGGCATCTCTTGAAATGTTGATTGCTTTTTAAAATCAAAATTTCACTTGATTTTATTCAGCATCCCCGCACCCAATGCATACACTAATGTTTTTAAATTGAGAAAAGATGTTGTGTCTGATTTTGATTTTAGCAATATCAACCAATTATTATTTTCCAGGTCCCTTTCAACTTTTTTTTCAATTTGATGAGTTTAAATTAAATATGGATATTCAAGTTGATCTAATTGGTAATAGGTGCAAGTGTCTCTGTTTTTCTCTTGGTCTCCCCGACTGCCCACCTCCCAAGCCAGTACTTCCAAATTTGCTTTGTCCCTTTCAACAATACAAAGGCAAAAGGGTTCATACCAAATCTCTCTGGCCTCACCTATTGAAAGGCCCCCAAGAAAGAATGACGACGAAGGATGCTCCCTCCTTCTCATTCTCTTTGAAGATCCTCTAAGTGGTCTAGGAAATTGCTCGTGTCTGCCCCACCGAAGCGCTTCTTTATGTTTTTGGCTCTTGCCTCCTTATTTATTCTTCCATTAATGGGAGTGGACATGCTGAGGAAGAGATTCATCTGCCAGAAAAGATTTCCAGAGAGATGGCCTGCTACCTGGAGAGAGGGGCTGTCTGGTTTTCCTCTCCCTCGGGGTCTCTGTGAGGCCAGATGTTGCTGGGCCTTCATGAACCAGGGAGAGATGTTACAGTAACAGAAAAGTGGTGTCCTCTGGCGTGACTGCAGGGAGACTTTCTGCTTGTCAATCTTTTGGAAGGTGGAAGGAAAAGATTTCTTTGTCTCTGCTGCCCGCTTCTTCCATGGCGTGCTCCCAGGGAATTGATAGTTCTCCTCCAAAACAACCACCACCAGAAGCAGCCCACCAGGGATCGTCCTGCATCTGGGTAAAGAAGTTAGCATTCATTCATCAAAGTGCCTGTCATCAGGGTGAAACGTGGCAAGGAAATAAGAGGCTATTTTTGGAATTGAGCTGTCTATGCCTGAGACAGCAAGACTAGTGCACAACAGGGGAGAGTCCAGGAGCCCCACCGCCCACCAAAATCTACTTGAACATTTGTACTTGGCTTTCAAGCTGGACTTTCCAAACATGTGCACTGGATAGTGGTTTGGATCGACGTCTCCCTGGATGGCTTTCACTCGCCCTTGCTTCTCTGCAGCTGGCTGCTCTAAATGAAGGCTGGATGTTGGCTCTGTTACACTTCTCCGGGGGCTTGGATAGCCTCTGCAGGGTATCATTTATTGTTTTTACACATGTTTGACTAGTCCTGGTCCTAGCCGTCCTTGCCTCATTGGGGATTTTAACCAATCTACCAATTCTTTTTCAGCCTCCATTTCTTACCAGCCTGCTGCTCTTATAGCACCTGTCCTCAGGTTCTGTAGCTCCAGTTTGGTGGTCTCCTCTACTTGCTATCATTCACCCTCTTTTATGGTAGCTCTCACTTGGGGTTCACTATTTTATCTTCTGGGGGGCTGTGATACCACGTGGCCAATCCATGACAAGGTCCATGAACAAATGGCCTTGAAGTTCCACTGGGTGATTCTAAATTTTCATTTGGCTAATTTTCCAGGATCTTTCCAAGACCTCTCTTGAGACAGTGTAGCTAACACAATTTCAAGTCAGCCAGTAAGTCTGAAGTCTGCTCTGCTGCTGCTGCTGTGATGCAGAATTGGTCTTTGTTTTGATAGATGACAGTTTGGAAACATCTGCACTTTAATGATTCCTGTGAAATTGGAGTAGTCACTTTCAGTCTTGATGTTTATGTTGTCACTACCAGCTCTGCCAACTGTCTATGACTCAGCAGCCTCTTGAGACCCTGTCTGTCCTTTAGAATGAGTCTGCCATTGCACTAATGCCACCTGTTAGCATTTCTTTTTTGTTTGTTTTTGAGACAGAGTTTCACTCTTATTGGCCAGGCTGGAGTGCAATGGTGTCATCTCAGCTCACTGCAACCTCCTCCTCCCAGGTTCCAGTGATTCTCCTGCCTTAGCCTCCCAAGTAGCTGGGATCACAGGCGTGCACCACCACTCCTGGCTAATTTTGTATTTTTAATAGAGACGGAGTTTCACCATGTTGGCCAGGCTGTCTTGAACTCCTGACCTCAAGTGATCCACTTGCCTCGTCCTCCCAAACTGTTCAGATTACAGGTATGAGCCACCACGCCTGGCCAGCATTTCTTAGAGCAAGTTCTCCTTCCCTCATTTTCCCACCCACCCAAACATGTATCTTTAAGGACCTTGGGGGAAAATGTGGCTCTAGTACATTCAGAGCTTCTGCTGACCACCTTCTTGATAGTTTACATCTTCTGTCCTTTAAGCTTCCCGGTTAGAACCATTCAGTAGGCTTTCAGCATAAAGTAACTAGGATTCATCTCTTGCAAAACAACTGTTTGAGTAGTTTATTATAACTGTGCAATCTTTTGCTGTACATTTCAAGGAAAATCCAGCCCAGACCGGGAGTCTCATTGTTATAGTGTCCTTGCTCTTTCACCATTGGCTTCCATGGGTTGGGGATAGCCAGAGCTGACTGGGTTGGTCCATCAC